ACACCTCGCTTTTCAGACCGATGAGCTTTGTAAAAATCGACGCGTTTCAGAAAGGCGGGGCATAGAGGAGCAACAATAATGTGCATTATGTGGAAAATAATGTGTTTTTTGAACCTTAAACCGCATAAAGACATTGCCTAACACCAAATAAACAACATAATGTACTTTTTAGCAACGTCATATGACCCCTTTAAACAATTGCTGTTCTCACCAACATTCAGATTGGAAAAAATTCCTGTGGCTATAAGCAATCTTAAAATCTTCAGTCAGGCAGCTTTTACATGATCCATCAGCCTGGTTTCAGATTCTAAATATAGGCTAAACCTCTACATGCTTGCATGACATTACTCATTATGACTGATCAGCTGTACAGCAGTGAAAGTTTAAATTCTTATTTAGTCACCCCTTGACTTAATAATCTTCACTTGTCTAGATTTTAACACAAATTATCAGCTTAGTTTCAGGATGTAGTCCCAAAATAGGGGACTGAGCCCCTCGATCACCACTATGCCCTTTAAGGAATTCATGAAAAAATATAATTTAGTTCTTATCCTCATGCCATTACAAACCAAAGTCCCTTTGAGGCAAGTCATTTCACTCGGCGGCCATCAAACATCAAATTCTCCAAAACTCTTTACCAAGCTTACGATTAAATTTCAGAGTTGGGATTGGGGAGAACGCATTACAAGTAACGCGAGTTACGTAATGAGATTACTTTTTAAATAACTTGCAAAGTAACACATTACTTTTTAATTTAGAAGGAAATATCGGATGTACTTTTTAAAATAAGTAACTCGTTACTTTGTTTCCCATATCTTGACTGACAGCTCTGGTGTTGGCATGTTGAGAGAAATCGGGAGTAAGTGCAGAGGCGTTGTGTGCGCTGTGTGAACATGATGTTACTGTAGTTCTAGACTAAATATCAACATGTATTTACTCATCTCACCTGCACAAAAACAGATTCAGCGTTCTTCAAAATGAATAAAAACCATCACATGCAAACTCAGTATATTATACAAACCTGCAATAATTAAATATCATTCAAATATTTAATCCCATTTTATTAACCAATGTCTTTGCTGTTGACTTTCGATGATCTAATTCAACCATACTAAGCAAAAATGACACATTTGTCTTTCATTTTTGTTTTTGCTGAATAGTGTAGAACTTCTTCTGTGTCATATTCTTCATGCAGTTTGTTTGAGCTGCGCCCTCTACTGTACAGATGTTAATTTACATTTCCGTCAGCCTGAGGCGTATTCATTTCACTTTTGTTGCGAAAAGGCTTTTACATTTGTAAAAGAATAACTTTTTTATATTAAAAACAAACAAGCAAGCCCTTCCAAGATTTAAAAAGAAACTCAGAAGTAACGTAATTACTTTCCATAAAAAGTAACTAAGTAACGTAATTAAGTTTGTTTAGGGAGTAACTCAATATTGTAATGCATTACTTTTAAAAGTAACTTTCCCCAACACTAGGAGAGGCCATATTAAGCGTTGCATTTTTCCCCATTCAAAACTATTCGAGTGACACCTCTTGGCTGGGTGAATATAGTCATTGTTACAAGCCCATATGAGAAGTTTAGCAGATTTGTTTTGTTTATTTCTTTGTTTTCAAATATGGCACATAAATATATTTTGTAAATAGACATATAAATGTCTTGATGTGCCATATTTAAAATACAAAATAAAACATATAAAACATAAATGGTTCTCATGTATCTTAACAAATCAATATGCATGTGTACTGAATATGCGCATAATAAATTGCACTAATCACGTTTTAGAGCTCTTCAGTACATGGGAAGATCATTAATAAAGACTTAAATCATCATCATCCGAAAACCCTTATGCAGCATCATTATTATGTCATGTAAGTCATGTTATAGTCCAAGATCTCCTTCTGCTGGTGAAGAAGGGTGTGTACAATAATGTTTTATGTTATTTATACTATTTGCATTTTCTGTACACCTTATTGTATACCAGCATACTGTATCTCACGATGCAATGCACTTCACTTCCATTTGTAGTGTGTAGTATGGACCAGAAACGATATCAACCACTTATTACTGTTATTCATTTATTCAATTTAAGTACACTTCTTATTGAGTAGTAGTAGCTTGCAATTTAATTAGTTTAGTTAAGTGCATTGCATTGTTTAAAAGTATTTGAAAGATTTTTTTCAGATATATCCATGTGATATTCTCAGCATTGTCATTAAGAACAGGAATTTCTTTTATTATAAAATTACCTTAAATATAATTCTTATTTTAATAGATGTTATGCACCACTACAGCCTGTGTGGATATAAAATATACCCTAAAAGGATATGATAAGCAGCATTCTAGTTGACAAGAACAAGTAGAAGGTTACATTATATAAATTATATAATTATATAAAAACAAATGTATTTCAAACAATGCATTATCATCAGTGGGCACAGTCACACAGTAGAGTCATGACAACTAAAGTAGGCTATGTTATCTAAAAATTGCTCAACAGCACGCAGACATGAGAAAAAAAAATATTTTAATAAATTAAATTTAGATGTAGATGTTAGGAATAAATGGGATATAATGTTGACCGTTTTTATTCATTATATTTCATTTAATACCCACTCGCTTCAAAAAACTGCACTGCAAAAACTTAAGAGCCATCAAGGGAATTTTAAGCAAATGGAAACTATAAGAAAATTCTATAAAAAATAGTACAGTGTTAATATGAAGCAATTTTCTGTACTACCTTTTCACATGTGTTTACTGGTATTTTGAATACATGTTGCATTGTGTTTTGTTTTAGGATTAAAGGAAATGCCTGTAAACCTACACTGTAAAAAAAATTTACGGTAAAAAACCGGCAGCTGTGGTTGCCGGAATTTTACCATAAAAAAATATGGTAGAAACATTTTAGGTTTTAAGGTTTGAACTTAAATTTACAGTTAAATACCTTAATTTCATTAACTGATATAATGTTAATATACCAACCTATTGAAGTACTGAAATCTGTTTTGTACCTTTGTAATACACTGATAACCTCCAAATGCAGGAGGTGATGAGAAAGTCACATGATGAACCAAAGCCCATCACAAGCAGCTTTTAAATACTAACATACAGTATATAGAAGGTGCACAGTGCCATTCACACAAACACTAAACACCATCATGGTGACACACATGAAACTGAAATAATGCAATAAACATTCATTTAACAACATTAGGTGTAACACACAATCCTAATATACAAAACTGATAAGAAAAAACTAAGAAGAATCATAGTTATTGCAACAAAAAAACATCAAATTTGAAATGTAACGCAGGGAATTCTGGGAATGTCAATTTACGGTTATTCACTGTAAATTATACGGTCTTTTTCACTTTTTTACCGTTAAATTCACCGTCATTTTTTACAGTGAAATATATCTTCCAGGACATCGTTCTTTTTCTACTTTTTTTTCTTACATTGTAATGTGCACAAAATATTATAATATGTTTTTATAATATGCCTGTTTCTGAAAAAAAAATGGTAATAGAAAAACAGAACATTTTAATTATTAGATGAATATTAAATAGGGGGAAATGGGGAAGAAGCCCCTCTTACGAACGATGTGGATTTACTTTTGAGATTTTAACATATTTAGATATTTGTTTAGCATGATAAGGATGATAATGCATCAGCCAATGTGTTATTATAGGAAATAAACAAAAACATCTGCTTATTTAGTTGCTATAGCACAAAATGTAAAACATTCCAATATGGTTAAGTTGGCCCCCTACCTTGGGTAAAATGTGTAATCTTATAAATGACCTTTGATATAATTCCTATTAATGTTTGCATATTTTTTTTAATGTCTTTAATGTAAAATACTGAATCAACTATTCTATTTAAATTTTTTATTTTGACAATTCAGTTGAAAAATCAAACAGCCGATGAAAGACAAAGCAGAATCCCAGAAAAGGAGATTAATCTGGTAATACGGTCAAATTAGTAAATGACTCATATACAGGCATATGAATATTTACATAATACACTCTTTGAAATAAAGGCTCCAAAAGGGTGGTTTTGCAGTGATGCCAGTGTTTTGGTTCTCTAAAGAACCTTTTAGTGAACTTTTTTTATTTATTTGGAAGAACATTTTTTATCAAACGTAAAGAACCTTTTTTGACCATAAAGAACCTTTTCTGCATTTGAAAGGTTCTACACAGTAAATTTTGCAGTGTTAAATTAACTCTATAAGAGTTGAATTTAACACTCGGCCCGAGTGTATTTGGTCCCACTCAGAATTGGTGATAAATTGACTCATGTCATAGTGTTACATTTTCAGAGTTAAATTAACTCTATTTTGAGTAAAAAATTAACACTGCTCAACACTGAATAGTGTTACCAGAGTTTAACACTAGGGGAAATTAACTCTGTTCTGTGTTACCACAATTTAACTCTGCAGGAAAATTTACTCTGATTAGTGTTAATATTTATTTTATAATAGTGAAAAAATATCTCATTTTAAAACCCATTTGGTGTTTTAAAAACAAAATAGAAAACAAGATCAACGATGTCACATTTAAAACATTTATTAAAAAATGTTGTCAGGCTCAAGAAACATGTACATACATGGACAAAAATACATCACGTCTGCATGAAATGACAATACATCATTATATTCAGTACAGAACCTGTTGAACCTACAAGCTAAGCAGCCTTGCTCTTAACCTCAGCAAAGAAAAAAATGAAGTGTACATCTTGTGTAGAATAGTGGTATAAGTGGTGCCAAAAACAAAGTGTGCCTTAAGAAGTTTGTTCACCAAAAAATATAATTATCGTTAATTACTCACCCTTATGTTATTCCATTTCTATAAGACTTTTGTTCATTTTCGGAACACAAATAAAGATATTTTTAATGAAATCTGGCAGACTTTTATCCTTTCATTGACAGCTTATACAACTAAAACTTTCAAGGCCCAGAAAGGTTTTAAAGACATCATTAAATTAACCCATGTGATTTAACTTCAGTTTTATTAAGCAACACGAGTGCTTTGTTTGCACAAAGAAAAAAATTATAATTTACCACTTTATGAAAATATTCATCTCTGACAAGCATACACGAGAGCACGACGACAGATGAATGTTTTGTTGAAATGAAAGCAGACTTTGTGTGAATGCATGCATAAAATTGAGGTTAAACCAGTTGGAGTCACATGGATTACTTTAATGAATGTCATTACTACCATTCTGTGCCTTGAATGTGCTAGTTGCGTGGACTGTCAATGTAGGGACAGAAATCTCTCAGATTTCATTAAAATATCTTCATTGGTGTTTTGAAGATGAACGAAAGTCTTACAGGTTTGGAACGACATGAGGGTGAGTAAATGTCGACAGAATTTGGGTAAATGAACCCCATTAAACAGTTTGTCAACAGCATCAAGAGAAGAGACTGACTTGCATGGAATGGCATGCTGATCAAAATTTAAGTACTGCTGAACTGAATAATTCTTCCAAGAGCCAGGTGACAGGGCTGAGCACTTCCAGCAATGCCTTGAAGATGCTCCTCAATGCTTGTTCCACTCTGGAAAAAAAAAAACAAGAAAATCGCAGGGGACTATCACTGATGTGTTAAATAAAAAAAACTACAAAAAATAAATAAATAAAAACCTTCTAGAAGATATCTCTACTTGAGACGTAGACACCTTTCCTGGTCTCTTCTGGCCTTGACAAGACACAAACAACAAACATTTTAAGATCATCAACACTGCTTAAAGAACGCTATATGAAGTTAATCCTTAGTCACAGTTAACGCAACTCAGTAGCTACAAAAGTGCTGTGAAAAGTGGCACAATGACATTTCTCTTTTCATTTTGTACCTTCAAATGATATTCCTCGTTAGAAATGCCTCTCTGTATAGTTTTGATTCTCCATAGCAAGTATCCGGTGGCACTCTTACCAACATCATAGTAATGCTCCTTAGAAAGACAAAAATACAGAAAAAGGAGAAGAAAAAGTGTTTTAAAATCCAAGAGAAAAATACACCACCTATATTACGGGCATGTGATCAAAACATTTAAAAGTTGTCAATGCATTAATGGGGAAGTCGTGGCCTAATGGTTAGAGAGTCAGACTCATAACCCAAAGGCTGTGGGTTCGAGTCTCGTACCGGCAGGGATTGTAGGTGGGGGGAGTGAATGTATAGTGCTCTCTTCCACCTTCAATACCACGACTGAGGTGCCCTTGAGCAAGGCACCAAACCCCCAACTGCTCCCCGGGCGCCGCACTGCTCCGGGTGTGTGTTCACGGTTTGTGTGTGTGCACTTTGGATGGGTAAATGCAGAGCACTAATTCCAAGTATGGGTCACTTGGCCACATGTCACTTCACTTTCACTTAAAACAAAAACAGTGCAATACTTAGCCATTTTTGAAGAAGGGGACACAGAGGTACAGGAACAAAGGCACAATTCATCTGGCATAGTTTTCGTTCACCTTCCTTGGTGGTGATGTACTGCAAAAATAAATAATTTTATGAAATATAAAAATAGTATATATATACACACACACACACACACACAGTTATTTATATGAAATATTACTTATTATTTTCTTTAATGTCATCTGTCAGGATATTGACAGTTTTTCATTGAGAATCAATCAGACCAGCTTAATAATAAAAAATAAAAAAGTATCAAAGCAAACAAATAAATATGGCATATAAACAATAAAAATACTACTTCAAACAATACTTAATTTGACATATTCTTGTAAACTTTAACCTTATAAAGATCAAATTAATGTTGTATTTTTAAGTAGATTTATGCGTTTCAACAGTCCCCCAAATGCATAAGTAATAAAAACGTATAGCCCACCTTTTAGCTCCATCATCTGGTCTCATTCGTTTACTGGAGGACCTTTCTTCAATAATGAGTGTATCCTGTCACTAGTCACTGGAGTCAAAGGATGAAGACAGGGACTGATTTGACTGCACAGGAGAAGCTTAAAAGGAGAAAGATAATATGTTAGTTCTGTGCTATGACATGCCAATAACAGTCCCTCCTAATAAACAGGCAACATTTTAAAATGCGTTACGTTACTTGTACCAGCACTTACATGTACCGCTCTGATCAGGCCAACTAACTGTGTATGTCTAACAGCAATAACGTAAAATAGTTGTTCGTGCTACCGTAATCACTGCATAAGGTTAAAATAAGGAAAACAAAGACGCGGCTGTTTTTAAATGAGATGTTCTGCCTTCCCCATTGGCTTCTTCTTCGCGCAGTGTTGAGCCAAGTTACCGCTAATCCCACAGCGCCATCTACGTGCTTCAATAAAGATGCAATGGTGGCGTTCGACTAATTAGTCTAATTAATTCGACTAATTAATGCCGTTGGACACATTTTATCTTTCGTGAGCTGAACAGTAGCAAATATAGAGTTTATATAACATTCCAACGGTTTACATAACATCATATAATTTCTATAAAAATGTGTCAGCTTATGCCCCATTGTGACGTTACATTATTAACGTTAAACGTTTAAAAAACAGATTAAGCGGATATCCCAAAGCTAAATACAGCTGAAAATCAAATTAAGCAAGATTACTGACATCATTTAAACTTGATCATTATCCTAGCGACATGCTAATCATGCTAGAAACGTACAAACAACATGCTAGTAACTTGTTAATCATGCTAGCAACATGCTAGTAGCAAGCTAATCATGCTAGAAACATGCTAGCAACATGCTATTAACTTGCTAATCATGCTAGAAACATGCTAGCGACATGCTAGTAACTTGCTAATAATGCTAGAAACATGCTAGCGACATGCTAGTAACTTGCTAATAATGTTAACAACATACTAGTCGCTTGCTAATAATGCTAGCAACATGCTAGTCACTTTTTAATCATGCTAGCAACATGCTAGTAGAATGCTAATCGTGCTAACGACATATTAACAACATGCTAGTAACTTGCTAATGATGCTAGCAACATGCTAGTCACTTGCTAATGATGCTAGCAACATGCTAGTCACTTGCTAGTAACTTGCTAATCATGCTAACGACATGCTAGTCACTTGTTAATAATGCTAACAACATGCTGGTCACATTCTAATCATGCTAGAAACGTGCTAGCAACATGCTAGTAACTTGTTAATGATGCTAGCAACATGCTAGTCACTTGCTAATCATGCTAGCGACATGCTAGTCACTTGCTAATCATGCTAGCAACATGCTATCTACATCTATCTATCTATTTATCATCTCTGACAGACTGTATTGCCTTCAAAATATTCAAACGTTGCTATTTCAGACTGAAAACCATCAAACTTAAAACTTTTTAAACTTCTTAAACTTTTTAATCTTTTCAAACTTTTTCAAACTTTCTGGTCGTGACAAACTTTTTTATCTAGTTTATTATTATTATTATTATATTCCTTTGACTTTTTGATTGAAATTTGTTGCGACAACTGTTGCAAAATATTGTTCTGTCAGCATATCATACTTCCTTATTATTAAGTTAGAAATAAGTCTGTTGCACAATAGAAAAGATCTGCTGTAAAACATTACTTGAAGGAGAAAAAAGTCTTTATTCACATTTCCATAAATTGGCAGATATTTGTTCTTATTTTAATCATAAATGCACTTTATTTTGATCAATTTAATTGTGGGCCCCTTTCAATAATTCCTTCCATTTTCTTTACTTGGACTTAAAAAGTCTTAACTTTAACTTCACAAAACCTGCAGTATTTATTTATTCATGCATTCATTATTTAATAAATGCTTTTCATTTATGCTCACTTTCACATTGGTGATTACCATATTGGCCCGAATATAAGACGACCCCCCCCTTTTTCCAGATGTACCTTTTGGAAAAAGGCTTTTTAAAAACCAAATCTTGTTTTTTCTCAGTAAAACACATTTTGTCTTCAATTATTTTCATATTGCATATTTTTCCTAGTTTAATTTTTGTTTTGAAAGTATGGTAAAAACTGGTCAAATGTACCAACAATCACATTTAAAAAATATACACTTTTTGATATACCATCAAAAAAAATCAGGTAGCCCATCTGAATTAGGACATTTAGGCTATCATCTAATAGTAGCCGACCAAAATCTTATCGACAGTAGAAGTTAAATCTTACTGTAGTCTTCAAATCTGGGTACTGTCTTACGTTTTAAAATCACAAAGGGAGTTTGGTCGCATCAGGCTAACGTGACAGTCACGACTCATGCAGCTGTAAGGTTTTCTGCTTCTTTTGTTTTTACTCGCGATCTTTACAACACGCATTACATTACGTATTTCATGGCACACTCATTGTATGCGTATTTCTCGCCACCTATTGTTGTGGCTGTATTATTGACATGTCAAAGTCCAGACCCTGAATATAAGACGACCAGCTAACACTGATGTGAATGCATGTGGCGTTGTACATTATATTGAGACGGAGGGAGGCGCCAGAACTGCAGCTGATAGAATGTGCGCTGCAGCAGGAAACAATGATATTTCTTCAAAAGCAGATCGTGGAGACATTTTAATCGTCCATAATCAAAAATCGTCATATCGCACACCCCTAACTACCAAGTATAATCAATCTCACACACACAAACAAGCACAACGAAATCACTTCACACTATTAAGCGGCTGTGTTATGAACATGCAAAACAGTATCGCACGCGTGCTACAGTGGCACATTTATTAATCGCACAGACCAGTTTTTTCGTAGCACGTCGCACTGTACAGCCCTGCAGTAAATGATGACAGAATTGTAATTTTTAGGTGAACTATCCCTTTAAATCTGTTGCGCATCATAGATGCCAATTTGAGATTACTTGGGAGATGGTAGGGATCGTTACCTGGAAGTATGACTTTGTAGCTTTAGAGAAACTGAAATGAAATTGTGGCCTGTAATGTAAAATTAATCGGCAGGGGGTCTTACAAAGGGTCTTTTCATCGATTCAGTTTTACTCAGAGGTTCACCGCACTTTGAAGCGTATGAATATAAGTAACCATGAAAGTTTTTGTGTTGCTAGGATACACCATTGCAGCTTCCTCTGAAGAAGTGTTCGGTTGTGGGCAATGGAGGGGTCCTGAAACACAGTGGCTGTGGAAAAGAAATTGACCAAGCTGACTTTATCGTGAGGTGAGAAGATAGTAATATTTGTTTGCTCACATTCTCCCTCTTGTTCGCCATCGTCGTTAACGAAAAAATATGATTCCCAATGCACACAAACTTCCCAGAATACTGAGTGCCCTGTTGGTTACAGTGTTTACTTCCTTTTTTATTATATTATTTATAAAATATTTATTTATTTGTGAAAAATACTTTGTCATCTAAAGTAGGGCTGTGCGATTAATCAAAATTGTCTTAAAATCGCAATTTGAGCGTGCGCGATTTCTAAATCGCTTTATAGCATGATTTTCTGCACCCCCGACCTCCCCGCAGTATGCTATCCGAACCAATCAGAATGCAGCGCGCCTAAATGGAGCAGGAGAACAGAACAGACCGGGCGGGCATACAAACGTAATGCCAGGTTCACGCACTCCATCTGTGGTGTGTATTTTTTCCGCGCACAGTCAACACATGGCTTTTTGGCTAGATTTAAAACAAGGAAAAGTGCACTTTTAGATAAACAAGGCAATAATAGATGGCACTTGTGGTGGTAGTTAAACAAAGTTATATTTATTGAGTTTAAACGTGAATATGTCTATGAAAGACTGTATTACTGTACTGTGATAAAAGAGAATCACAAAGCTGAAAAAGCATTTTCAGAAACAACATTTGGATTTGAAATCAAAATAATGGATAAATGTTGTGTTTGTGGTAAACAGCCGCTGATCAGGAGCGGATTGCAAACGTGTCCTGTGCGAAAGCAAAATGCGTCCGTGCTGCTTCTGCACCGCGTACACATACTGTATACGCACTGCAGACGGAGTACGTGTGAACTTGGCGCAACAAATCTAGTTCAACATCTGAGGCAACGCCACAAAGAGCTCTATGACCAATGCATGGCAAAAAAAAATCCCTGGGCACAAAATCCCTTTTTCTGCCATATGTCTATTCTAGAGACATTTTGTTACACCTTTACTTAGTGATTATTTTGCCTTATGTCTGTTCTAGAGACATGTTACAGCTTCTTGATAAAGTTGAAATATGTTTATGCTTTACATTTATGACTAAAGCATGTCTGTGTGTGTCAAAATCGTGATTAAAATCGAAATCGCAAAATTTATCAAAGGAATCGCGATTTTTTTTGTCCATATCGCACAGCCCTAATCTAAAGTATAAGTATGTTTATTTAACGAATTTACTTTTTAATTCATTTTCAAATGATTTCAAATTTCTTAAACATTAATTAAAATAAATAAAATTATATCGGCTTTATATCGGCCACCCTGCTTTCCAAGATATCGGCATCGGCTGTCAAAAAAACAATATCGGTCGACGACTAATATATATATATATTTTTTTTTTTTTTTTTTTTTTTAGGGATGTCAACGATTAATCAACAATCGATTAATTGTCGATAAGAGATGCAATCGATTAAAGCTATCGATGGTTGATTAAGATATCTAGAGGAAGAGGTGTGACCTCGGCATCCTGGCCAAATCTGCCCATTGGCCTCTGACCATCATGGCCTCCTAACCGTCCCCATATCTGCTGATTGGCTTCATAATTCTGTCTCCTCTCCACGAATAAAGCTGGTGTGTGGTGGACTTTCTGGTGCAATATGGCTTTGAGTGCTTAGAAAAAGCGCTATATAAATGTAATGAATTATTATTATTATTATTCAATTTTTGGGGTGCGTGCTGCTAATGCACAAAACACGTGTAAGCAGTGAGTGACGGTGACGGCATATAAATGCATTATTATTCATTCATTCATAAAATTAAGTTTTTAATGTGATTAAAATTTTAAAAGTACATTAAAATAGAAACAACACAAAATTCTTCAACATGGAAAGCAACAGAAATGTAGTACCTAAGTCATTTCCCCAAATAATTCTTTCATATCGGGCACTGTGCTTTCCAGGGCTGCAGGACACAGGACAGATAGTTTATTCATTCCTACAACTTAATTTGTTTTATTCGTTTTATTCATTTATTCATTTGTGGCCACTGTCCATGTTTCATTAATTTTGTTCCTTAAAATAACCCATGATTTAACTAAAATGAGGGAACGAATTAATAGAACGAATTCTTAATTCATGGCCATGAAATCTTTCACTTCCCTTCCCGCATGTTTACCACAGTAAGAGATGTGAAAACAGTGAATGACAATAAAATAAACCTTCGAAATTAGAGGGTGAGACGGTGAGGTTTTAGGAAAAGAAACAATAAATAATAAATATTATTACATTTGTGGAAATTCGTAACCAACCGGCAAACCAGAACAAAGCCGCGTAAATGTATATGGCCTCGAACGGCATCGAAAAGCTTTTATACCTCACTTGTGTCATAATCAGAGCTTATAATTTGTAAATAAATATTTGCCGGATTCAAAACAGCAATTAAAAGGCGCTGTGACCGACACTGACAATACAGCTTCAGTTTTCCCGGGACATTCAATGATGTCACTAAACGGTGATGCCACAACTAAGAGTGTTCACAAGTTTATGGACCTAACTTTAAACTAAGTTTGCAGGTTTTCAAGCCCTGGGTCAAAATGGGATGTTTTAAGGAAAATAGCCTATGTAAGTTAAATGAAAATAGGCCTAAAATAAAAATAAAACCTTTTTTTTTAATAAAGAAAAAAGCAATATATATTGACTTAAATAATTAAGCTAACATATTTAAAACAGATGTGTGGCGCGGCGCTCCATAAACAAGTTCACAGAAACTGAACTGAACACGCATCCTGTTTGTTTGTTTGCTTTATTTTACAAAAGCACAAATCTTCTGTTTTTATTGTGAGTGTGCAAAAATAAAAGTAAACACTTTGCAGTTTCGAATTATAACTTACCTTACTCTTATCTGTATGACCAAAAAATTTTTTTTAATTTTATGTTTCAACTGTTCGATCGTGCCGGCGCCTCACGCACACACACCCCACATATTCTAGTAATTCAAACTTACATTGCAGGCTGTTCATTATCAAAATCAAATAGTCAACCAAACATATAAAAGGTTACACTGGTCAATTTAAATAGTGCGTATACTGGTCCACTCTGCTGTTATGCCAAGCACATTTTTGCTCCTGTGAAGAGGATGATTTTTCCATCGATATGTGAATGCGCGTAAAGTAGCCTATGCCTACAAAGCCTAGTTTACATATAAATAATAGTTTAACATTCAAATACATTGCGAATATGGAAACATTTGGATTTGTGCCGAATGAGAGAGGTACAATAACCTCCAAATACATCTAGCCAAACCCACACTCGCTCCGTCTCGTATGCACGCATGCACTGTCACGAGCTAATGCGCTTGTAAATGCCGGATCTTTAAAAAGCAAACAGGCCTACCGGAACGCAAAAATGAAAAATCGGACATTTTCCGGAACAGGATCAAATTAAGCACTGATCATAATACTCACATAAAAATGTGTCATGTGAGCAGCAGTGCCGATGGAAGCAGTTCACTGACCACGCGCGCCGTACTTGCGTTTGGGATCATTTTATTTTAAATGCCATAATGTCAATTGAAAACATTGCCATTGTGTTTTAAAATACAACAACGAGCACCATGAAACCATTTGAAAAAGCACATTCAGCGTCTCCGTCTAAACAACCAACAAAGTAAAATGATCTCAAACGTTCATTTTATCAAATCACATCTATTAATTTTACAATCCTGCTACTAGCATTTTATTCAGACTAAAACCCCTTTAATTTGGGTGAGTAAACAATTTAAGTTGTTTACTGCATGCCGCTGCAGTAGACGCAATTTGCAGCATTTAGGTTAACGATTAATCGATTAATTGATCGTTAATTTAAATGACGATCGATCATGGAAATGATCGAAAATTTACATCCCTAATATATATATATATAGATATATATTTATAAAATAAATCTATATAGCAATATTTGCAACACATAATGCCAAGTTTGAATGTAAACATTAGTACACAAACTAAAGCAAAGGTGAAATGTAGAAAGAGAAATCCTTTGTGGTTTAGAAAAGTGCATGAGGAAAAGATATGTCTTCAACTGTTTCTTAAAAGTAGTAATGGGTGAAGGTAGGCATTTCATCCCATTGCTGAGGTGTAAAGGTGCCTCATTGTGAAGGAATGTTTTGTGCCCCTCATTCACTGACTCTAAATTGCAGAAGGGAATTTTAGGTAAGAGGATCCATTTCCAGTTGCATATACCTTCCAGTTAGTGGAGTAAAACCAAGAGAAATATGGCGTGGAACCTCTTTGATTGATTGAAGAGCAGATGTGCTGCCAAGTTCTGGATCATCTGCAGAGGCTTATATGTGCTGACTGGAAGGCTGGCCAATAAAGCATTGCAGTAGTCCAGTTTTGAAATGACAAGTATTTGGACAAGGAGCTGTGCAATGTACCCAGTCTAGTTTTCCTGATATTATAAAGCATTAACCTGCATGACCAGGCTTTTGTTGAGATGTGGGTAGTGAACTGGTCATCAAACACTACCCCCAGATTCCTTGTCCTGGTTGGCGTTAGTGTTGATGAATCCAATTGAACAGTGACAATGTAGTCAACTAACTGGTTGGTTGTGGTTTACGAGCTCTGGGGTTGCAAGGTTGAGCAGCCCCAACTCTAGCCAAGTTGAAATGTCTGAAGGGCAAGCAGAGATGCAAGCTGAGACTATGAGGCCATCAGGTTGGAACAATAGGTAGAGCTGCATATTAGTTCCACAGTTATAGGAAAAGTCATGTGCCTGTTTGATCAAGCATAGTGAAGTTGTGTATATCAAGAAAAGGTGAGGACCAAGCACTGAACCCTGAGGAACCCCAGTGCTTAGTTCAGACACCCTCCTCTCCAGAAACCTATAAAGGATCTGCCTGTAAGGTAACACTGAAAACACATAAGTGCCATACCTGTGATGTCCAGGTCAGAACTGTTGGACTGGAGAATCTGGTTATTTACAGTATTCAAGGCAACAAACCAATGAGAACAGATTATCTGGAGTTCTCTCTTTTCATGTGTAAAGTTTTATTGACAGCCAGGTGGTCTCAGTAGAATGTCTGCTGTTGCAACTAGATTGGTTGTTATTGGGTAGCTTGTCCTGTGAGTGAAAAAGTACTGATTGAATACTTAGGGATTTTGTGAGAAAGGGAAGAGAGAGACTAAAGACTACTAGGGTTAAGTTTGGACTTTTTTAGCAGTGGGGTTGCCTCAGCCTACTTAATTATGGAGGGAAAGGTGAAAGTCATGAGAGATGTGATGATTAGAGTGAGAGTTAGTAACCGCAGTGTAGTCTCCTGTAGAAGATGTGAGAGGATCATGTTCTAAGGAATGGGAGAAGAATAGGAGGAGTGCATGCAGGTGGTGGTTGGTTGTGTGTGTGTGTGTGTGTGTAGTGTGGAAAAGTGGTTACTGATTATTATTGGAGATGTATTGGTACTAAGTGGCCTTGGCAGCAGAAACCCAGAAGAGGAAGAGGACAGGAGAGATTGATAATTGCTCAGGTCAGCTTGGTCTTTTAACTTGGTAATTTTTTTGTCAGGTCAAGCTCAGAGCTTGATGGTTACAGAGAGTATCAGTGAATCAGGGGCTAGATTCTGTTGCTAGTGTTAACCCAAGAGTGTCCAATACTGCTGCTGGAGGGCCACTTTTCTTGCAGAGTTTATCTCCAATACACCTGCGTAGAAGATTTAGTGATCCTGAAGACCTTAATTAGCCGGTTGCTGGCCTGTGCTAACCTGTGATAGGCAAAGTGTTAATGTGTAGCTAAATGTATCAGTAGCATAACAATAAGACCTGGGGCGTTTATTATTGTATTTACTGTAAGAAACAATGCTTTCTTGTGACAAACTGAAAAACATCACTCCCAGCAAAACTTTTTCTGCAATCTTTCTTCATCTCCTCTACCTCTAGATGTAACCTTCCTCCTCTGTCCAAAGAGTACACCACTGATGTTGGTACCAGAACACACCTGGTGAGCGCGAATCCTAGCATTATTGAAAAGAAGTACGTGTCTTCTCCTCTTCACTTATTTATCTATTTTTTTGTCTATAGGGGGGTTATATGGTTCACTTATGATACTTTATTTAATTACAATAACAAGATTTCAGTATACCAATAACGATGGAAACAATGATTTAGATTCATGGCAGCACCTTTCTGCTCTACCTGGAGATTTCTGTAGTTTTCATAATAGATGCACACTATTGTTTTTGTCACAGCAGGCTTTGCTTTGGTGACAGCACTGCTGAATTTAATCAAAATTGAAATTGTTCAATTATAATTATCTTTTTTATTCCGATTAATTGGACAAAGTAAATTGGCCATAGTGAGTGTGTGTGTGAATGAATGAGTGAGTGAGTGAGTGTGTCCCAGCACTGGGGTTGCACGAGTTAATGCACTCTCAGGGCTGGTTTGCGGCAGGAAGGGCATTTGGCATAAAACGTGCCAAGTCGGTTTGTTCTTCTGCAATACTGTGGTTTCAATAAAATAATTTTTTCTCTCATTCTACTGAACCATGTTTTTTCTATTACAAGTTTGTCCATATTTTATTCATCTTACTTTACAATTACAATGCATTCTGTTGTCTGATAGAGTTCATAAAACCCTTCTATGTGAAACAGCTGGTAGCTATTGTGGTTTCTGGGGAAGTTAGCAGCATGCAGCAACAGCAGGAAAACAGAGACAGAATGGTCAGAAAAGGACACACAGATCTCCAGACAGCTGACTACATGCCTTGAGGGATGAATATCGACCTTTCTTAGCGGATTAGCTTGTTTACTTCTTGCGTTAGCTGGCAGGAGATCTCCTAAGTGCCCTGTTAACATTTTTTTTTATATTATTAAAAACAGCATATTAATATGCTTGTGTTGCAATGTGAGTGTTCCTAAAGGTATATGAGACATTCAGAAACAAGCTCAAGCTCAGACATTTTATTCATTATAACTTGACTATTCACTCAATAACAGGATGTTTAACAAAATACAATATAAATAGAGCTAAAGTTAACCGTGGCTCAGTAATAGACTGACAGTTAGATTCAGGGTCTATTTGATTTCTGAATTCATTCATTCATTCATCCATTGTGGCCACAGTATCTTTAAATAAAACAGTTTGGTTACAGAAAGAATATTTTTTACACATTTTTTACTTGACATTAAAATAAAATTCAAATGTTTATTGTTCCTCTTTTTTTCACTATCAGCTTTCAGAACCTACTATGGTCCCGCAAATCCTTCGTAGAGAGTATGAAGGCATATGGTTCCAGCTACATCTACATACCAGCGTTCTCCATGAAGCCCGGCACTGACCCCTCCCTGCGGGCATACTACGCCCTTACAGACTCCGCCTCCAACCAGACTGTCCTGTTTGCCAACCCGGACTTCCTTAAAAACGTTGGTCGATTCTGGAAAAACCACGGCGTCCATGGAAAACGGCTGTCCACAGGGTTGTTCCTGGTGAGCCTTGCCCTTGGCTTGTGTGAAGAGGTGACCGCTTATGGTTTCTGGCCATTTTCGGTGGGACTGGATGAGCGGCCGGTCAGCCACCATTATTATGACAACATTCTCCCATCCTCGAGATTTCACGCCATGCCTGAGGAATTTTTGCAACTCTGGCACTTGCATAAGAGAGGCACGCTGCGTATGCGGGTCGGCGATTGTGCATAACAAAGGAGGACAGGAAAAAGAAAGGAAAAATAAGTTGCCAGGGCAACATCCTCATATCCCCACAGGAACAGGACAGCCATCCTGTGATTAGCATGAGAATACTGTGGGTTGTGAGGTGATGCCCCACCCCCAAATCTGGGCCTCTCTTTGGTGTCTATATGCTTGAACCTCAACTGCTACCAACACACCCCCACCCTCTTGTTGCCAAGGGACTGTTGTAAAGACTTGCATGTGTACCCATCCTCATGTATGCGCTCACTGGAAGCTTGTCGTGTCTGTTTGTAGAAGTCCCGGGGTGATGAGGAACTCAGGTGTCATGTGACCCATTTAAACGGCATCCTCCAGCAGTTGGACTTTTGAATCTAAGGACTATTTGTTCACTTACTATAAAGAGAGAATGGGGAAGGGGCTGATTCAAACAATCTCTTAAGAACTTTAAATAGGAACTCAGAAATTGGGAGAAATGCTTTGATCGTTTGGCATATTTTTGTTTCGTTTTGTCTTGAACATTGTTTCTCTGGAGGAAATGAAATAAGGAATAATGTGAAACTCTTACTCGCAGTGTTCGCATATATACAAATCAGTATACAAATACAGGTTTTGCCTGGAAAAGGGAAGTTGGGAATTGAATGTACAGCCACAGTATGAAAACCTGTTTCAAAAATTTGAGACTGGTTTAAAGTGAAGGCTGCAGTTCACATATTATTGTGAGTACATTTCTAGTTTTATTTATTTTTGACATTCAGTGAAGTAGACCATTTACCAAGAGCCACCTGGTCAGTCTAGATTAGTCATGAGGTCTTGCATGACCATAGTGTTTTGTCAAGCTTGGAGAGAGAAATCATGGGCTGAGAGACCACATCCAGTTGGAAGACTTCCACAAAATGGGTGGATGTTACGAAGTGGTGCAATGATCCCTTATCACATGGTTGAAGGGGCACCAATCATACGATGAACGTTTTGTTGCCTGTTAAGGTGCTGGACACCTGGTCCGGAACGTGTAAATACTCAATCACCAGTTTTGTTACTATTTCCACAAGAATCATGGTTTCTCTGAATGTATGGGCAGTCATTTTGGTAGTCTGCCCAGTAACTTGTTTCCTTGACTTATTTTTTGTTGTTGTTAAACTGCACACAGGGAATTAGGTTTAAATTTGTAGGTGCTAGCTGTAACACATGCACTCCAGCTTAGTCTAAATATATCACTGACAGACAGTTGTAATAGGTACGACTGGTAGGAGAATGCACTATTATGTTGATTTGAAGCCAGAGACCTCAGTATTTATAGGGTTAGTTCACCCAAAAATGACAATTGTCATCAACTACTCACCCCATGTCATGAAAAACCCATTTCTTTCATCTTTGAAACACAAATTAAGATATTTGAAATGAAACCTGAGAGTTTTGAGATCGACTGAAAGTTTGAAACTGTTCATGCTTCAAAAAAAAAAAAAGACTTCTTTATACATAAAGATTGATCAACGCACATATATGTGCATGTGAGCATCTCAAATATGGTAAATGCAAGCCCAACCATACTTTCTTGATGCCTGATAACAAACCTCATTGGTTTTCGTTTGAGCTTTCTGAAACGTCAAAGTTTTGGTGTAATGGGCTTTCAATGGAGGGACAAAAATCTCTCAGATTTGTTTTATGGATTTGGAAGGACATGAGGGTGAGTAAATGACAAAAAAATATATTTTAAGGTGAACGATTCCTTTAATGGGAGGACAGAGTTGCCTTTAAATTCCATTTAAAGCAGGTATTTTTGCATTCAGGTAGCTAGATGTAAAACAGCTTAACTAACTTGCTTCGCGAGATTCTCCTACTCTATGGCGTCCCTCGTGGCAAAACTGAGATTGTGTACTTGAAACTGATTGAAATTAGTAAACTTTTTGATAGTTGTTGTGTATACATATTGCTTGTGCATTAATGTACGGAAGCTCTACTATGAGCTATGTAATGGTTGAATCTCACAAAATACATTACCCGGTCACATTTCACCCCAATCAAGAGGAAAATTGACAATTGAGCACATTTCCCGTCCATGTCCTCATTATCATAATGTGTTTGGAAAAATCGAAATAAATAATGGAGCATGAATGCTTGAGCTTAATTCTAGAAGTGTTAGTGATCATGAAAAAAATGGGGTGAACTATGACCTGGACTTGTTCTTAGCAGGTTTCTGGAGACTCGCTTTGATAGCAAAGGAAACGTGTGCACTCATTTGAGTATCTCCAGAAATTCTCATTACCATATTTTCACACTTTAAGCCAATGAGTGCCTTTATCAGTATTAAAAAGGCTATAGACATTATTTTATCAAGGACAAGTTTTTAAACAGATCTAAGGATTATTTATTTTCCCCCCAAACGCAGACTTAAATAACCTCACTGAATTGTTTTTAAAGGGATACTCCACCCCAAAATTAATATTTTGTCATTAATCACTTACCTCCATGTCGTTCCAAACCCGTAAAAGCTTTGTTCATCTTCGGAACACAATTTAAGATATTTTGGATGAAAACCGGGAGACTTGTAACTGTCCGCTGGACGCAAGCAGCGTACGCTCTTCTATCTCAGCCGCGCTGCACGGATGCGCTGTTTCCGTTCAAATCAAAGCGTAAATACACGTAGAAAACGGATCCTTCTGTCGCGGCTGACACAGAAGAGCGTACGCTGCTTGCGTTCAGTGGTTATTCTCCAAAATGGTGCTATGGTGATGCGGAGAGACACACAGGAGACGAATTGTTGAATAAAGTCATTATTTTTGTTTTCTTTGCGTACAAAAAGTATTCTCGTCGCTTCATAAAATTCAGATTGAACCACTGATGGCAGATGGAGTATTCTGACTATGTCTTTCATACTTTTCTGGACCCTGACAGTGTAATTTACTTGGCAGTCAATGGGACAGTCACAAGCCTCCCGGTTTTCATCCAAAATATCTTAAATTGTGTTCCGAAGACGAACAAAGCTTTTACGGGTTTGGAACGACATGGAGGTAAGTGATTAATGACAAAATGTTCATTTTGGAGTGGAGTAACCCTTTAAAAATTTTCAACCAAGGCTGACGTGTAGAAATGTAGAAAGACCTATTGATTTAATAATTTATTATGATTTATGATAATGTGTTGGATGTGAGTTTCAAAATATGCTAGCATACGGTTGTAGAAGGACCAACGTACATTACTGTAATTTTTTAACATTGCTTATTTGCCAGAAAACCACAACTTTAGTGTACATGAAGCTGGGGAAAGAGCTGATGATTATTTTTTTCTTTGCACCTTTTTTCGCTGTTCAGTATTGTGAATGAGTGAGGTAGTAGTTTGTAAGTAGGCATGCACGACTGTGATATGTAATTGGTTTTTGAAACTGATTTTGAGTGAAAAACTCACAAACAATTATGTATTTTACGTTCCGCCCTTTGAGCCATATGAGGGTGTGTACCCTGCTGAAACTGAGCTTACCTCAACTGTACTATTCACTGTTAAATTCATTGATGAAGCTCACGGGAGCTTGGATCATAAATACTTAAGTACATTTTACTCCACTAAGCTGTAAATGTGTCCTATCATGTCAATCTTCTTGGCTGAAGCAGTTGGTGTTTGTACTTGAGCATGTCACAATCTACTAACAATAAACCGGAACAGAGCTGGATGTTGCTTACGTGCCACCTGGGTTATGCCAATATTGAAAATGTGATAAGAAAAAAAGCAAACACACTGCTTTCAAAAAATAAAGATGTCCTGTCAACTCATTTGCTGCAGTATGTGTGAAGTCTATGAATAACAGTGTCTAAATGACCTTAGATGAAGCACTCCATTTTAAATCGGACAAACATATATTTCCTGTTCAATACATTTTTAATGTCAGGACCCAGCTGTCTCCTTGCAGATGGCCAAAAGACTGATTAAATTGATCAAAGGTGTTATTTGTTGGACAGGCTACTGAGAGACATAATGGAGAGCTAGAAATAAATGTTAAAGGGGTCATATGACGCGATTTCAATTTTTCCTTTCTCTTTGGAGTGTTACAAGCTCCAGTCAATGGGACAGTCACAAGCCTCCCGGTTTTCATCCAAAATATCTTAAATTGTGTTCCGAAGACGAACAAAGCTTTTACGGGTTTGGAACGACATGGAGGTAAGTGATTAATGACAAAATGTTCATTTTGGAGTGGAGTAACCCTTTAAAAATTTTCAACCAAGGCTGACGTGTAGAAATGTAGAAAGACCTATTGATTTAATAATTTATTATGATTTATGATAATGTGTTGGATGTGAGTTTCAAAATATGCTAGCATACGGTTGTAGAAGGACCAACGTACATTACTGTAATTTTTTAACATTGCTTATTTGCCAGAAAACCACAACTTTAGTGTACATGAAGCTGGGGAAAGAGCTGATGATTATTTTTTTCTTTGCACCTTTTTTCGCTGTTCAGTATTGTGAATGAGTGAGGTAGTAGTTTGTAAGTAGGCATGCACGACTGTGATATGTAATTGGTTTTTGAAACTGATTTTGAGTGAAAAACTCACAAACAATTATGTATTTTACGTTCCGCCCTTTGAGCCATATGAGGGTGTGTACCCTGCTGAAACTGAGCTTACCTCAACTGTACTATTCACTGTTAAATTCATTGATGAAGCTCACGGGAGCTTGGATCATAAATACTTAAGTACATTTTACTCCACTAAGCTGTAAATGTGTCCTATCATGTCAATCTTCTTGGCTGAAGCAGTTGGTGTTTGTACTTGAGCATGTCACAATCTACTAACAATAAACCGGAACAGAGCTGGATGTTGCTTACGTGCCACCTGGGTTATGCCAATATTGAAAATGTGATAAGAAAAAAAGCAAACACACTGCTTTCAAAAAATAAAGATGTCCTGTCAACTCATTTGCTGCAGTATGTGTGAAGTCTATGAATAACAGTGTCTAAATGACCTTAGATGAAGCACTCCATTTTAAATCGGACAAACATATATTTCCTGTTCAATACATTTTTAATGTCAGGACCCAGCTGTCTCCTTGCAGATGGCCAAAAGACTGATTAAATTGATCAAAGGTGTTATTTGTTGGACAGGCTACTGAGAGACATAATGGAGAGCTAGAAATAAATGTTAAAGGGGTCATATGACGCGATTTCAATTTTTCCTTTCTCTTTGGAGTGTTACAAGCTCTTGGTGCATAAAGAAGATCTGTAAAGTTGCAAAGACTAAAGTCTCAAATCCAAAGAGATATTCTTTATAAAAGTTAAGAGTCAACCACGCCTACCTAAAACGGCTCATTCTAACATGCCCCCACATGTCTACGTCACTATGTGGGAAGATTTGCATAATGCCGCCCAAATGTTCACGCAAAGAAATAAGGTGTAACTTTGATACTCACTGTAGTATTGTTGCTGCCGCCACCGCCGCCGCCATTTCGTGAAGGCGGTGTGTGTTTCTTTGTGAAAGCGAAACTACTTTGTTTGGCCTTCCAAAAGAGGACACAACTAGAACTCAGCGGTTAAGTTGTATTTACAACACTGCTCTGGAACAGTTCAACCCAAATATTCAGATGTGTGCAGCGCATTTTACAGAGGACGAGGACTGTTTCCTGGGAGAGTAGCCTATAATGCCGGTGTCTGTTTCTATAAAGTGGGGCAATTCCAACTTTCCAAGGACAGTCTGGTGCTTCTGACTCACAGCATGTAAGTAAGTTTTCATATTTAAAGAATTTGCCACTGACGATTCAAACGTGAGTTTTGAGCAGTGTAGAGTAGCGCTCGTTTGTAATTTCTCCGATCACAAATGCAGACATGGTTTCATGTTTACGCAGCATGATACGCAACGCGTAAAAAGACAGTATAAGTCATTATTTATCAGTAATTATGTCTCCAATGGATGCAACAAATGCCTCGTTTATAATGGGTTTTAATGTTTTTGTCTCGTCGCTCCGGCCGGACACGGCATCACAGTATGGTAAGGGGTGGAACATTTCCGTCACACGTTGAGGTATTCGGCCAATCACAATGCACTGGATAGCTGGCCAATCAGAGCACACCTCGCTTTTCAGACCGATGAGCTTTGTAAAAATCTATGCGTTCAGAAAGGCGGAGAAACAACAATGTACAGTATGTGGAAAATAATGTGTTTTTTAACCTTAAACCGCATAAACACATTGCATTACACCAAATACACAAAATAATGTTCTTTTTAGCAACGTCATATGACCCCTTTAATAATAAATATCCACACATTTATATATAGTTTTGGTGCCAAAAAAAATCACCTCTTTTATATAGTGTATATTTAGGGAAGCTACAGTTTTCTCAACACTATTCAACCCAGAACATTCTCCTTTATTATCAGTACAAAAGAATCCATATGGTCACAAAAACTGTGTAATTCCATATACAAACCAGATATAAAGCACATTTTATTACACAATATTCTTTATTCCCTAATGTTCCACGTCTGTAGCGGAGGTTTTGTCCTCTAAAATAATCATATGTTTTGTACTGGCGTGGGTGTTCAGGTTGGTGGTATTGCAGCTACACTGAGGCTCCAGTGAGGTGAATGTTTGTAATGGCTTTTTTTTCCTTTTAAATAAGCCAACTGGGGGCTGTGGAAAGACAGCAATGCAAATAAGCAGAAGCAATTTAAACACCCACATAACCATTCTAAAGTGCCTTTCCATTTGCAGTTGGCAATATTATTAGGTAATGGCATACACTTCGCCATTTTCTATGCATATAACAGTTATAGATGATTGTGGTTAGTTACTTTTACTTGAAATGTAGTTACTTCATAAATTCCATTTTGTGTGTATGCAGCTGTTATGCTTAAGGCCTGAGGTCTGGTTTATTTTGTGACTATGAGCATGAGAAAAGCAATATCTAACAAAGAGCATCCTGTTGCACAAATCTTTTGTGGGATCCATGCAACAGAATGCACATGCATATTTACTTATCTTGTACTTCACAAACAAAATGTTACAATTTTAGCAGCCTTCTCGTATGAAATGGCATGCATGAGAGGCAAGTTGGCCTTCTTAATTCCAATTATTGACATCTTGATCCTAAGATCCAGTCCTCTCCACTAAGCACCATCACAATCTCCATTGGTTATTGTATCAGTATAGTAATGCATGCCACTCACATATATTTTAGCATTGCAAGACACTGCTGAATAATTACTACCTGAAGAATTGATTGATTTCCCAAAATGTTCTAGTTTTTCTAAATAAATTATTTTAAGAGTCAAATTGAGGTTAGGTTAGAAAGCCGTGAAGGGGAAACTCATTTCCCACTTTTTCACATTACAAACAATAGAAAAACAATTCAACACTACATTCACAAAAAAAGCCGACCACACACACAATCAAACATTACAATACATTTTTTTTTAAAACTGCAGCAGGGATCTGCATCGTTCAGTAGAACACAGAGGCCATCACCAATCTCTCACAAATGC